GTGAACCATCACGCGCAACAGATAATATCTGAAAAGGTGGTGAGTCAGGGTCGCAGCTCAGGGCATGTTGATATGACACCGATCGCAATCTGAATCAGGTCGTTGAACTTATCGTAAAAAACCACATCAAGTCGCTAAGTACAGTTCTCAGGAATCCATGCAGCTCGATCGGCTCGATCAAGAGTCATCCGGGACAAACCGAGTCGCGGCATAATTGTGAAGTTCTCAAGGCTTAATCCTTAAAGCTTAAAAAACTGGGGGGCTTCTGTTATGCCTAAGAACTAGGGCTGGCGTAAGCATACGTCAGTAAAAACCAATCCGAATTTAGGAAGGTTTCTGTCGTCTGGATGCAGCCACGTGCTGCTAGGACAAGGGGGGGTAAGGCCATTGTAAATGAGGCAGGTGAACACCGGGCCTATGGGTGGCTGAGAATTGTCCACCTGCTAAAGCCATACGCAATTTTGTAGACAACCAATGGGAAGTGGGTTAGGAATTTTATCACACCTATCCGCACGCAGAATCATGATTACCAGTTTGAATCCTCTAACTATAAATAGGAGGCTCTCCTCCACTTTACAGGATTGGCTCATCCACCACTTAAACACATACACTCTCTTTCCCTCTCTTCACATTTATTCTCTCTATTGTAATTTTGCTCGTCAAGTACGACCTGATTGTAATCAACCATTAATATAATCACAGTGGACGTAGGATTCGCCTTAGAGCATCCGAACCACTTTAAAAATTATTACTCACTCCATTTCTCACTTTGCACTTCCGTATCACAAGTGATTTCTAAGTCCGCTTAACACGTTATACGTGCGAATAGTTGGTGTCAAAATCAAGCATCAATAGAGTTAAAATTTAATTCACTTCACTTATGCTATATACCCCCACCATTGCTATTTCTAAAATAAAATTTTAGATAATTAAATTGAAAGTTCAAAAAAAATTAAAGCTAAAAAAAATATTTACAGATAATCCAAAAAACATAATACAATTAAGCAACACAAAAATAATATAGATTAACATAGTTACCAATATTTTAAAGAAACAAAAAACAATAAATTTATATTAAAGCAATTAAAAACTTATAATGTTGTATTTCTTCTAACCTAGTGTATTCCATGCAATCTTCTCATCCATTAATTAAACCATCTTTTTATTCTAAGAATGATTTGAAGAAAATAAAAAAAAAAAAAAAAAAAAAAAAAAGGTTATAAGATAATAATGGGGTGTCAAAAGTATGTTTAAAGAATATGAAAATAAAGTTAATTTTTATTATTTAATATATGGATAAATTTGATGTTATAAAATTTATTAAAAAATATGGCTTCTTTAGTTCATTAGGGAGGTGCCAATAGATCCACTTAGACAAAAATAATATAGTCCAAACCAATACGACAATCCTTCATAAATGGCCCTAAGATAAGTTAATTATGGTCTCAAATGAATGATCATATACTGAAAGAGAGGTTCTATAATTCTATTTGCCCCACATTTTGAAACTAAAGACACCCTACTTCTTAAAACACTCCGTCTAAAAATTCTTCACTTAATTTTTTTTTATTTTTTTATGGAACCACATAAATACCATTTATTCCATTTTTCATTATTTAAAAGAGTAAACATTTAATTGCTTTTACTCATACTATTTGTCTCCCACTATCATTACTCTTAAAACACAATTTTAGAAATTCAGATTGAAAGTTCAAAAAAATTAAAAAAAAGAAAGCATTACAAATAATTAACACGTTGACGTAAATATAGCTGAATAATACAAGTAACTATTCATATTAGAATAATTACCAATAATTCGAAGGACAAAAACAATAAATTTATATGTGATTAAAAAACAATAAAACTAACTTGCACTAACAAAAATTTGAGAAACAATTAAAAAATTTCAATTTATATTGATTGTAATTTTAGATGTTCCATTGCAAAATTTCAACCTAATATGTTCCATTGGAAATTTCTTACCCTAATGAACTTTCATTTAGTTTTAAAATTATTTCAATTTTACCTCAATATGATATTTAAATAATCATATGAAATTAGGGTTTATGATGGTATTTAAAAAGAATATGGAAATAAAAAGTTAGTTTAATATAAGGATAAATGTGTAATTATAAAAATTATTAAAAAAATTGGGCTTCTTTAGTCCAATGATGGGGTAAATAGAACCACTCAATAAAGAGAAGGAAGTCCTTGGCCCCAACATTTTGGTAAAGTATGAAAACCCCCCTTAAACCCACTTCACGTGAATACATCATTACACAAAGTCAATGAAGTCCTTTGACTCTTAGTCAATTACCTTTATACCCTTATGAACCCTCTGAAAATTTAAAATTACAGAAATAATAGTTCATAAAAACTGTCGATGCTCATTGGCTTAAAATTTTCAGATCTGGTCATATTGTGCGTTCTATGTTTTTAAAGGACAAAAAAGATTGAGGAAGAAGAATAGAGAGAGAGGAAATTAAGAAAGACGAAGAAATAGAGATCTAGGGTTTTAATATTTATTTGTGGATGAATGAAAGAAAAGGAAGATGAGAGAAAGGAAAGGAGAAACAAATATTTCTTTTTTTCTTTTAAATTTTTATAAGAGTATCTTCGATGGTGCTTTTTATGTTGAAGAATATCTTTCGTATAAATAAAGAACATTTTTATTAATTTATAAATATAAAGAACAAAATTTATATTCAAATCCAATAGATTTTTTAGATTTAATGAAGATGTTTTTTGTTTTCAAGAAAGAAACTTAATAGGATAGATAATTAATAAATAAAATATATAAAAACTTATAATTTATTAATTAAAATTAGGATATAGAGTAAAATTTGACATGTGGAGAACAAAACTCACTTTTTAATTTATATTTAAAGGATAAAGAGTTTGTTAAACTCTTATTATGATGGATGAACTCTTTATAATAAAACGTTTATGTTATATAAAGAGTTATTTAAAGATGTCAAAGGTTGTCAAATTTTTTTTTTTTAATAAATTTTACAGTGTTGTAAAAGCCTATTTTGTCCATTGATTAGGGTTGCAAATATTTATACGCGCAAAATTACGTTATTACCCTTGCTTCATTGGACTTCATTGGACTGTATAACATCGGTTGTCATGTGTACGTCTACCTCTTGCCCGTCTACATCGGTCTAGTAGTTCGGTAACGGATGCAAAGGGAGCTACACCTGATGGCTGATGGCATGAAGACATAAAAAGTATGGCGGCGTCATAAGAAAATTAGTGGGACTCCAGAGAGATTTGTACACAGTGGAAATGTAGGCAGAAAACAAATTGTAATAGGTGTGGTATCGGCGAATGTATTTTGTAGAGGAATGCGGCGGCCTGCCACTGGCAATCAAAATTTTTGCAAGATACCTGAGAAAATTGAATTGGAATAAACATGTCACAGTTGAAGAAGGAATTGACTGAATTTAAGGAATATACTACCAACTTGCAAATTTGATGCTTGGATATCAGCAATTGAAGTGTAGTAAAAATAGCTGCATCCAACCATGTTTTCGTCTTTGCACATTGTATCCGAGGAACCATGCTTTTGTTGCAAAGGAGGTAATGGGAGGGCTTATTGGGTGAAGTTAAACAGATAGATGAGAGAAGCAGAGGAGATACTTGATGAGCTCAAACATGTTTGCAAGCTATAGCTGACGACATATGGGATATGATGGTCCAGTTATACAATTTCCGTCCTCAGTTTTTCACCAAGATTGTGCGAATTAGAGAAAACCTTTATAAAGATTGGCCTGAAGATCTCATGAAAGAGCTTCACTCTGGACCCAAATTTCTTAACCTGTCAACAATACTTCAACCCCTTTGGCATTCATTTTCATAATGATTTTTTCACCAGCTTCCCAAACCTTAAACTACTAGACCTGTCAAATACCCGTGTAAACATCTTGCCAGGGGATTAAAGAAGCTAAATGCTTTGTTTTTCACGCAATCGTCAGGACTTGACTAGTGGAGCTCGTGGATTTGCTAGTTCTGGATGTTTCTGGTAGCCCAATAGAGCAATTACCAGATGGGATGTTTTACTTAACTCTTACGCTTAGACCTGTCTCGAAATCGAGTGGGGAGTTTCCCACCTCACCTGTTAACCAAACTCCACAAGTTACAACAACTACTGATGATGGGGTGTGGCTTGCCCTGGCTATGTAATGCAAGCTGATCATAAGGCAGCATTTGTAGAAAATATCCAAGGACTTGGGCATTTGAGTGCTATCGAAATCACATTCGCCACGTCTTCCATGATTACATTAGCTCCCAACACTGGCTTCCACTCAAAGAGTTTCAAATTCACTGTGGGCGGATTATACACTAGGAAATTGAGGAATCACAGCTTTGCATTCATGGAGGAGTTTCCAGTTTCGCTCATGGTAATGCATTATTGTTAAATAACATACTTGGTCATACCATTTGAAAATTGTGGAGGTCTTCACTTGAAGTGTATCTTCACTGATATAACTTTTTTGGCTCTCCAAAACCTTGAAGAGATGGTGATCGCACAGTGTCCGAAATTGAAGAGGTTATTTGAGCGAGAGAACATGCCCATATCCCGTCTGCGGCTGCCTTGCCAAGGCTACAGAAACTGACATTGTTTGATCTACCTGAATGGAAATGGTGCGTCATTTATTGAAAACAATGGCGGTTTGGAAGTGCAGTAAACTGCAGATATTGCCTGATATTCAGGTACGCTTAAGCCTATTAATTTCTCAAAAAGAAAGAAAGAAAAAGAAAATTTGCCAGATATATTTTACTAGTGAACTATTACTATGCAACTAATATCAATTATTAACTGAATGCAAGCAGGGATAGAATGAAGGCCCCATTTGAAATAGAGCAAGGCGGCAGCTGATCGGTGGAGTTGGCTGAAAACAAGAAGAATAGTATTCTAATGTTTTAGGAAATGCAATGTAATAATTTAAATTAGTTTTAAAATTGTATGTACAATTGGATGAACAATGAAACTGCATTAATGTAAAACGAGAGAAGAATACTTTTACATGGTCAGGTAGCTGTGAGCATCAAATGAAATTGATTGGTCACTACATTTTTTATTTTACCAATAAATTCTAAGTGTCTTGAGCTTCCATACTTTCTTAACTTTGGCTGAAACATAGAGCTCAGCATCTTCTCCAAATTATACACAGAATATTTCACATTCTTACTTGCACTAACATCCTGTTCAACCAAAACTCCATAGCTCTGCAAGTAACTCCTGTAAACAGGCACAAAAGCCTGCACTACAAGATTGCATATTTTCTCCCTTGAGCTCTTATCAGCCACAACCCAAAAGGATTGCTTCTTATACATGTAATCAAAAGCCTCATTGAAAGCTTTTAGTCTCTTCTTTGCGGAGTCACGAGCGTTTGATTTCCTACCAGGGGACAGAACTAGGTCATCTTGTCGTAGAAGAGCAAAAATGTTGCCCCAGCTCTCTCTCACATAGAGCCCTACATAATAGTCCCTATACTGCTCATGAGCTTTTAACCAAGAATCTCCCAACATTTCTCCAAGCTCTGTGCCTTTCAGATTGCAGAAATGGCAGTGATTATTCATCATGAAAAGGTAGGACAGTGTGTTATCCTCATAAGAACTTGACCATGCATCCAAGTTCAGTGCAATTTCCTTTATTATGTTATAAATCTGGCTGGTAAGAAGTCCCTTCTCAAATTTCTCTTGTTTCCAGCTCTGATGGATTACCAGGACCTGAGTTAAGATTGGCCTGTAATCTTCGCCGAGCAGCTGATTTGAGTAGTCGGTCACAAAGCTTACTAGCCTCGGAACAGTCCCATTTATAGGAGGAGAAATTTGCCTTTGCAGCTCCACTTGGAGAGGGAGTTCCCAGAAAACCTCGCAAACGCCATCAACAACTCTCTTGACGAGATCCCTTGTCAGGTTTTTGATTTCAAGACAAGCGTCCCCCCCAAAAAGCAGGTTGATATCTACTCTTAGACTGTCTAAAACAGAAAAAATTTCCAACAGCTTCAGGAGCTTGAGAGGATTCTTCTTAGACTCGGTAACATTCATTCCGAATTGTAGGAAGGAAAGAATTCCAGATTGGGCTGCAATTTTCGCGAAGCAACGCATGCAAGCATCCGATCCAGTCTTGTCAAAAACATCATTGCAGAGCTTGTACTCAGGCTCAAAGACATGCTTCACCACCAACTCAAAATGTTCACACCAATTATCTATAAATCTCTCTATGTCTTGCACATCATCAGACTCTGACATTGATTTCTCAAGATATTCCAAATCAAGAACTTCCAAGCTTCTTCTGACATTCGAACTTCGAATTTCTGCGTATATAGATATGCAATTCTCAAGCCGACCATTAGCATTTAACCGGTCAATTATGGCCTGCAACTTCTGTATCGCGGATGCTGGAATAATTGATTGACCAATGCTAGTTTGCTTTTCAGTGAAGAATGATGAGGCCACCAAAACATAAGGAATGGTGTGTTGTGTTACAAGGTCCTTGAATTCAGTTTCAAGTTTGTTCAATGCCTCAAATAGTAGCCCTCCATTCAGGCGGGCGCATACATCCGTAGCCTGCAACTCCTGCAAAATTCTCAGACACTTCTTCACCCTGGAGATGTACTGATCATCGACAACTGAACTTCCATCGAAAGCCTCAGCAATACCCTCCAACCACTCAATTGAAAGCCTGCAATTACCCGCGAGGAATCTCATCGCTTCTTCAAGCTGTTTCATGATTGAAAGATACTTAGAAAGGTCTGAACATGGCTCAGACAAGAGTGACTTCTCTAGCTCCCGGACACCATCAAACACCTTCAGAACTGCAGCAGCAGGGCCAATGGCACAGTCAATCTGATCTCTGACCACGCCAAGCGAACATTTTCTCATAGATGTGGACCTAAATGCAGCTTCCAAAGAAGACAACCTTCCTTTAATCTCTTCCAATCTTGGCCCAGTTTTATCCAGTGCCACCGCAAGAACTCTTGATTTTTCCAAACTAGCATTTAAGAAATTCCTAGCAGCCAAAAGATTGTCAATACTGTCAACCTCAGCCATTGCCAAAGGCTAGTACTGGTCCTAATCTTAGGACTTCTCCTAACCGATTCAACTACCTTCTGGGGTTTTATATAGAATTCAGAATCCATACACATTGTTATAATTACTGCAATTTTTTGTTTTTTTTTTGGTGGGTTTCTTATGTACCACTCATTTACTTTTCTTCACCAAACGTACCAAATCAGGTTAAAACTAGACTACCCGTATTCAAACCAAACCTCACTTGCAAAACAAACATCTCAGAATATCACACACAACCACCATCAATAAGCTTTCTTGAAACCCAATTGGGATTAAGTATAGCGGCTGTTGTTGTAAAAGACGAAAAGATTTCTAGATTTTTCAGATCATGCAGCTACTAATCCAGTCTCCATCTACCAAATAGAGTTGTTGAAGCTCCATCCATTAATTTAATTCTCCAAAAACTTTGCACTTCTTCAGTTATTCCTACATATTTGTCAAGAATTTCTTGAGAAATAGTTACTGTGGTACCAGTAAAAGATGGTAAATTTAGTAGAAAGTTATGCACAAAGTACAAGTCCAGTCCAATGAAATGCATCCCTCTGTTTCAAAGCATTATCTGTCCTTTTCAAGTAGTTTTCAGAGAATATCATTTTGATATAGATTAGTCATTAGAACTTAAATCTTCATATCATTGACAATATTAACAAATTTTATTCAGTAAATAAAAAAAAAACCATTTTCTTGGTATAGTTGAATTTGCTTGGTAGCGGTCAGGCTGGCAGAGTAACAGCTCCAGGATTAATTTATCCCTTCAATTACAAGAAGACAATTAGAAAACTTAAAAAATAAAACTGCATTTTAATGTTTAATGTTTTCATTAATATTACCAGTTAATGTTCAATACACTATTTAGTTCTCTCATGAATATCTATATGGCCAAATGCCATTATTTTCTATTTTTCAAAAATTGTAGGGTTTAACGAGGACCCCAGTTTCGAACTCAGGTTTACGAAACAAATACAGATGATGTGTGGAATGTAGATTTAAAATAAATAAAAAATACACTATTTAGTGTGTTTTCCACCTATTTTTATATCACAAAACTAATATTAATTTTTTCTTATATCTGTACAATTATAACATTATAGGAAAAAAAATATAAGGTTAATCCCATTAAAAGAAAAAGGCTTAATTTTATCCAACTTTGAGAGTCCCCTAAGTCTAAAACATTTCAACGATTTTCGGAAACTGTTAAATTCCTCAAATCTACCAAAAACCCTTTAAAGCTTTAAAAAAATTAAAAAAAAAAAAAAAAAAAAAATCTTAAAAATGCTACAAATCCATGCAAATTTCAAAAGAAAAAACCTTAAAACTACCAAAAACCTCTTGAAAATACTACAAATCCTTACAAATTTCATAAGGAATCCTTAATAGGGGATATTTAATACTTTTTAAAATTAAAATGAAGTTGAAAATTCGAAATTACCCACACCCCCAACCCAAAAAAATAAATAAATAAAGATATAGCGAATGTTTAAAGTCTATAGAATTTTATATACGCCCACCAACCCAAACCACAAAAATAGAGAGAGACAGGTTTACCTATAATTTGTAGAAGTTAATTAAAAGGAGCTACCATCGTAAATTTAATTAATGGAGGGTGCTTTAATATTGCCCATAACTTTAAGCTCACCAAAATTTGTTAAACATTAAAATGTGTAATCCCTTTCTTTGGTAGGTGCTCTACCTCACCTTCGCCTTCATCATTATCAATTAATAACTTTTTTATTACAATAAGCTACCTGGACCGGAGCATTATCCTTTATTATTTCACTATGAAAACTTTACCTAATATATCAGCTCTATTTGGTTTTATAATTAATGCATCAGTTAATTATATAATTAAAGTTTTATATATGATATCGCAATCAAAATTGAAGGTATTATTCATCATACAATGTTCTCAATCTTGATTTATAAAGTCCATCATTAAAATATTTAGATAACATATTATAATAATAAATTCTTTCATGATTTATATTTTGGAAAGGCAGTGGCTTGATTTTAGGGGCAAGGTTATTATTATTATTATTATTATTATTATTATTATTATTATTATTATCATCAAGGTGTTCGGATTAGCTTACGCGCATATCAATTAATCTTCTGAGATCCTATAACTATCGGTCGGGTGAAAGCTCCAATGGCCACCTCTATTAACAACCGATGAGAGATTCGAACTCATGACCTCTTGAGTAATACATCCAAGAGTCTTTATAGAATCACTCGATCACCCAGGGGTTGGTTTATTATTGTTATTATCTATTCTGATTTTACCAATATAATTGATTTAATTTGAACATTAAATATACTGAAATACAAGATACAGACAGATGCAATTTTTATGTCATTTTTGTTATTATATTAATTTATTCTTCAATTATTTACTTTGTGTTATAACATCTTTATAAAACTCAACATGCTTTAGGCTTTTAAAGGGTGCTCCCTGGGATATTTAGAAAAATATTAATTTATTTATGTAACAATTCAATTAGTACTGGAATATAAATTTATAATTTGTTAATTCTATTTCTACAGTATTAGAAATGAGTCTGTTAAGGCAACATTTTCTTGTGTTTATCCACCAGAAAATGGTCTAATTAAGCAATATTATTTGTGAAAAATAAAAATTTGTTATTGAAGAAAAACTATTTTAGAGGAAAAGTTATTTTCAGCGTTTAAGGTCTAATTAAGCACCTGCCACCTTTTGAGTTTTGACTTTGAAATTGTAATTGTAATTGTCAATTTTGAATTTGGGAAGTCATAAAGCAAACGAAAAAGATAAAAACAAACAACAAATCACAAAATTCCTGAAAAAATTAGGTGAGAATATAATTGTAAAACAAACACAACTCCTTAATATATATAAATATATATATATATTATATAAATATATATATATATTATATAATATATATATATAATATATATATATATGATTTTTAAGATTCAATCCTAAATATAGACGTATTAGGTCAGTTTATCATACTTTAACTAATCTTTTGGTTAATCTCTGATATGATTAGGTTAATCATAAATATGATAGATTCAAATACAAGACCTTTGGCAATTCTCAAGATAGTTAAAGTCTTGTTGTCCGATCATAAGACTAATGATTTCTTCTTTTGAAGAGTTTTTTATCGGTTTTTTTTTGTTCTGGTCTAAGTTTTATATTTTAGAAACTATTGAGGTTACATTATTTAAATTAAAAATATATATATATATATATTGATCACCTACCCAAGAATTTACTAGAACTTGAGTCAAATAATGTGGTTATGTTAGTTTACGGAATGTTAGAGTTGACAACTTTAGAAACGGAACATATTAAAAGATTTCAAATATAGATGATGGGGTTAAATAAAAAAAAAATATGGATCTAAAAATGGGTTTCCCCACCTCTTACGATGTGGGTTTTGTATATTATAAAGTTTGGGCTTAAAAGTTTGCCAATAGTCTTGTTGGATTGGACTTTTATTTTAGATTTGGATAATTGATTTAAAAGGCTGGATTCTGGCCTTCTGGGTGCCATTTGTGAAATGTGTTTTGCATCTTATTTATTTAATTTATTTTTGATAATCGGGGTGCCTGACCAATGAACTGGGGAAGACATAATTATATATCGAGATAGGTGGCCTCAAGATTTGAACCCAGAAAATTAAGGAAGAGAACACACCTCTTTGACCACTAAACCAACCCTTAAGGTTATGTGTTTTGCATCTTAAAAACTTAAAAAAAGGAGATCCACCAAATAAATCAGCTAATATTGTAATAAAACAGATTTGAGATACAAGAGAAACATATTTTCAATACAAATTTCTTTAGACTCTCGAATTCAACAAGTATAAAGAGTTGGTAAAAAATTATCTTTCAATTAACTCTTTGTATAAAGATTTAATTTCAATATTCTTAGAAAAGAAAAATGGAGGTACATAATAAAATAAAATGTGGGAATTAAGATAGAGAGCCGCCCAACAACATAATGCCAAATCGAACAAAAGAAAAAGCATGTGATAAATGTAAATAAACATTGAGATGGGAAATGTCGAAATAGGAGCACATGCTTTCTCTAAAATTAGTTCATTAACTAAGAACATCTTAATAAAAATGCGTTTTAGTTAGAATATTTAAAAGAGAGAGTGAGAGATTTAGATTTTATATAATTTAAAACAATGAAAAAATTTATTATCTTACTCTAAAAATGATACACTCCTAATGATAAAAGAGTAAAAGAAGGTTTCATGAGTTTTTGAGTTCAAGTCCTTCTAGGTACTAATAGAGGTGGTCATTGGGACTGTTATCTGATCGATAGTTTCAGGGTATCGGAGGATTAGTTGAGGTGTAACCAAACTAGTCTGGACACCCCCGATGATTAAATATACACACACACACACACACACACACACACACACACACACACACTTTTTGAACCCACTCCATATTTCATAATGCATATTATGATATGTTTTTTACAACATAAGGGATTAGTTCCGGTGCACGCAAACTGACCCGGATACTGCCGGTGATAAAAAAAAAAAATGATACACTTTGAACCCTCTCCATATTTCATAATGAGTATTATGATATGCTTTTTTCGGCACAAAGAATCCCCATTCTCTTATGTTTCTATCTAACAAGACTAATAGAGTGGTGTTAGGGCTAAAAAATGTCCTCGGCCCAAATAGGTCCAAGAATGAAGACACCTTCAACAAAACTGGAAGTTTAGACCCAATTCCGATTAGGCCTATAACAGAGTTCTACAGATGAGACTTGTTTGATATGCTTTCCCAGTTTCTCACCATCTAGACCCAGGCCTTCTGATCCTAGGACACCTTCTGGACTTACGATCAACTTGGAGCCCACAATCGCCTACGAACTATAATACCACTTGAACTCTACTAAAGAAGTCAATCACTATCCTGATTCATCTAAGGTCCATATCCTAGGCACGTTGGGACTCCCTTTCCTACTGAAATAAGGGAGCCAAAGGCTCCACTCTTTCAGAAAACCACCGCTGCAAGGA